AAACAGAACAGAACTAACATAAATGTATTGCAGATATTGTTAAAGTTCAATCATTTTATGTACACATTTTAGAATTGTGAAGGCTGAATCCCGACTGACAGAGGAGGAGCTGGGGATGGAGGACGGTAGTTAGCTATTGAGCAATGCGAAAACTGCTGAAACTACTGCGGGACCTTATATATGAATACTTAGATAGGTGTCGTATTCCTATAGGTAGATGGGGATCAGCTGAGAGTCAGCTGAATTTAGGCGAAAATACCAAAAAACGCCCTGAGCTTAAGTGGCTAAGTGCACAGACTGCAAGAGTGGGTGATGGGACAGGCTCAGTGTATGAAATAAACATAGTCTGCATCCGAAATCGCATACTCTCTTGAGTAGGTACTTTTTTGAATATGTAATTAATGCAAAAAGTCTATGTATCACACTTCAGAATCTGGGCGGAAATAGTAGATAATCCGGATACGAAAAAAAGGTACAAAAGCTGTCACTGGGGCGGTACCTTTTCAAAAGGTGCACTTTTGTATCTTTTAGGTACTAATTTGTACACTTTAGGAACTAATATGTACCTTTAAGGTACCAATATGGACTCTTTAGGTACAAAGGTGTGCCTTTTGAACAGGGTACCACCCCAGTGACAACTTTTGTACCTTTTTTTTCTGAGAGTGTATCCTGGGGGATACAAACATTTGAGAAGCAGTGCAAGTGTAGGTCTTATTTCTATTTTGAAAGGGTGTTTGCTGTGAATATTTAGATGAGGTAACTTTGTTTCTACATTGTTTAGCTCACAGGAAGCATTTAAAACTTTCTATAGTGGGAAATCTAGATTAATAAAAGTTGATCTAGTTTACATTCAAATATTATTTACACATGTTGGAGGAGACTTACCTGTTTAAAAAGCTGTTGTTCAGCATTAGCTTATTAGGTTTGCATTGAAGTTTTATGAATTAAATGCTTACAAACATTTAATTTTGTCTGTATCTTGTAAAAAAATGTATCTCAAGCTTTTAGGGATATAAATCAAGATATAGAAATATATACACTTTTGTGCCTTGTGTTTACAAAATCAAATCTTTTTGTAATCTTGACAAAACGCATATCATTGGAAAGGTCTGACAGTCAAGGTTCCATATTTGGTAACTGTTTTGTAATAGAAGTGATATTGTGACAGAAAATGATTGATTTGTGACAGAAAACTGCATCAAAAAAATTCAACAGAGTTTGGGTGTCACCCAGTGGTTATTTTTGGTATAGCGCCCAAACAAAAACTCACAGGAACCACAATTTTCGTGATATCAACTTCAAATTTGAAACATAACTTGGTTTGACATATGGCTTTGATTTTGTATCAATTTTAGAGTGCAACATATTTTGTAAAATATTTATTTTATTTAAAATAAAAAAAAAATGAGTATACTACATTTTATTTACTGTAAACTTAAACTTCCATAAATTTTTTATATATTTTTTACGATCGCTGCGAGACGCTGGCGGAGTGAACGAATCTGAGGGAGCAGCCGTGTTGCCAGATCCAGCGATTATGGGGGGGGGTGCTGTTGGGGGTGGTACTACCTCCCTGAAACGAGTTTTTGCAGGGTGGGATGTCTGCTGATGTCTCTTTAAGGTTTTGCCCTTTGTATGAAAACATATATTTTGACTATATTAAGTAGATACATAATTGTAAATGTATTTTATATGCGATTATTGTGAGGGCAGTGCACTTCAGCGAATACCCCGTGCTTAGGGAGCAGTGAACACTGCGTAGGGACCCTGTGTCAATCGCAGCGCTGCAGAGACTGTAGAGAGCGGGAGGTTGCTTTGTTTCTGCCTGATGCGCAACACGGGGGTTTCTCTGTTTTACACATCCAAGATATGATGTTGTTGTTGCTGTAATGTTA